TTTAAAAAAAAAAAAAATTGTGTGTGTTTTTCTCCTAGTAGTAAACACATACTCGTCTATTCGCAAACAAGTTCTCACAATACTCAAATGTACAAATACACAACACGCCGCACCATACATTCCATATCACATGTTATTAACGTAATGTTAGTGTGGTTCATTTTACACTTCTCTTTATTCTCCTATATTTTGATTGTTTAATTGTTCACCGGCCCTTCTTTATTTTACCCCCCCCCCCAACCTCCTTCTACTTTCTGTGTGTTTTTTGCACGAATCGCGTTTTTGAAATTGGAATCATTTGATGGCATCATCCATCATTCGACATTGAAATTCATAGGAAACCACTAGATGCCAGTAAGTTTCTAAGGTTAATGTTGCCAGATCAAATAAATCATCAATATACATATATTTCGACATCGGCGAAGTTATTTAGTGGGATTACAGCTCTACCACAAGGAAAAGTCGGTTCTGCGTTATTCAAAAAAAAGAAAGAGGGGGGAAAGGGGAAGTGGGGGGGGGGTATTGTTTACCATATCAGGATGGTGTCAAACCTCAAAACATTAAGTACTCTTGAGTTTGATACCAGCGATGTCTATAACATAATGTGTCAGTCTCGGAAGTGTAGGCCTTCCTCTAAATTGACAGCGATATCGTTCAGGACGAAATCTTCCTCTATATCTAAGCACCGGGAAAGTACGAGACTCGCCTTGACAGTCATGTCCCCGAATATCGCTGGAGCTTGCTTAGCAAGGCGGTCTCTGAGACAGTTTTTGCTCTCCTCCGCCTCCTCTCTTAGCAAAGGCGTTGAGATGAACGTGAGATTCGAGTGCCCTCCTTCCACAAGACGCCATTTTATTTCGGAGAGCTGATCCCGAGACAAAAAACCCGCCCCCAGTGGTATACCGTTGACCAATCGTGGCAGCTTGCGTAGACAGCTCCCTGGAATGACGTCATCCGCGAAGAGCGGGCGGAGAGTGAGGTGTATGAAGTAGCAGTGGCGGGAGTCGTCGGATTTGCTTAAGGCCCTCACCAACAGAGAGGCATTTTGGGGACTCACGCTGAAAAGTGAGGAGGAGGACTGCGATATGGGCGGGGAGAGAGGGGAAGACGGCGGGGAGTTGTTTGGGCAAGAATTCATGGTGGCTGTAATTTGAACTTTCAAACAATCCACTAAGGTGGGCTTATCGGGAAGTGTTGGGACGTCAAAGGAAAAAGAAAAATCTACATCTGAACTGTAATCGTGGAGGTAGTTAACATCGGCTGCCTGAGAGGTAGATGGGCAATCAAGACTGAGGGAGTCTAGCTCTAAGCAGGACTCGTGTAGTGTGTTTACTTGGACATGCCCACGCGCTTCTGAAGTGGGTCTTGATCTGTCGGCAGAGCTGGATGCGTCTTTAATACACGGCTCCACCAATAGCAGTCGTTCCTCCTCCGCCGAGTTTGTTAACTCTAAGTAGTCTGCCCTTTGTTTCTCGTCTTCCAAACAAGTAGGCTGTTCTCTTACTGCAGCATCACAGGGCACATTTTCCGGCTCCCGGGGTGGGGCTGGCGAGACTAGGGAGCTCTGGGGTTGGCCAACTGACGACTGGAAGCCGAAAATTGGATCCGGGAAAGCGACTGGCCACTGTGAGGCAGGATGTCGTCTGCCAGTGAACGGTTGGATAGCACACGTCACTTCCGGTAGGCCGATACAAGGGAGGGAACTACCCTTGAATTCTTGCCACCCAGCCACGATGATGCCCTGTGGAAATAGAAACAAAAGTAAACCAAAAAATCCCTACTCAGTTTTTAAGAGTTCATCCTTGTACGTACTTCAAGGTATAGATACAAGCCGTTTGTAGTTTGTTAATCTGGCTGTTTCTGAATATTATGTTAAATGCTCTAAACGTGGCAAACACTTCACTCCCAGATTTGTTCTCTTTGGCCGTTGGAGAGACCCCAAGTAAATTAATCTAAACCCTAAATTTCTTCCGGTTCGCTGAGAAATATTCTCCTCTGCAGATGCATTCGCCATCGTCAGACATGGCGGACGAATCATTATTATGATTATTTATTCAAAACATTTTCGCATTTGCACACATTATAAAGATAGTTAATTTTGCCACAACGTTCTCTCTCTCTCTCTCTCTCTCTCTCTCTCTCTCTCTCTCTCTCTCTCTCTCTCTCTCTCTCCTCCCTCTCTCTCCCCCCATCGGCACAATAATAAGGAAGGACGCAGGTAGAGACCGAGGTGGGACGACAACATCACATAGTGGACAGGCCAGTTGAATATGAGCAACGGCCTGGGAGTCGGCGTAAGCAAACGGTAACTGAGGTGTGGAGGGAGCTTTATTTCTAGATATCTAACCATCTATGGTGATGGCCGCCTTTATCATCATCATCACTGCTTTTCTGACACTGAATCAGGGCATAGACAACGGGATAGAATATTAACACTTTCCTTTCTTTATCCTGAGTTCACCTCATGACCCTGTGCGATATCTTAATGTCCGTTTAGTCATTGAATATTAAAATGACTTAATCGAATAAGTAAAAGTAAAAAAAAACCCTCAATAACTTCCTATCTAGAAATCTAGATTCTAGATCTAGATTTAGAATCTAGATCTATATCTAGATCTATATCTACTTTCTAGATCTAGATTCTAGATCTAGCACAACCCACTAAAAATATGGTTTAAAAAAGCACAACTCACTAAAAGTATAACTTACCAAGCACAACTCACAAGTTTATAGATCTAGATCTAGATCTAGATCTACACAAAATACTTTATGCTAAGGAATTTAGAGAATTTATAAGGAAGGAAATGAACCTTCAATATCTTTGCATTTTTGGTACATCGCCTAGGAGTAAATCGATGAGAGAAACATCACATGCAATCAAATGCAATGCAATGGGTAGTGTTTGAAAGCACCACTCTATTTCAAGGTTTAAAAAAACGAACTGTGGACGTAAAAGCAATGCTAAATGGTGCTCTCATAACAGTGGTAATGTTGAAAATAAAATTCTAAACTTATTTCACACTTTCACACCAAATGGGTACACGATTGTAATTTTTTTTTGATTGAGAAGAGTAAGCTATCTATGAAAACGTCGGCCATTACATAATTCGTTAATTACACATTCCAGCATTTGCCAAAACAGTTGCCTCCTTCCCTTTCTCTGTTGTCTGTCTGTCTGTCTGTCTGTCTGTCTGTCTGTCTGTCTGTCTGTCTGTCTGTCTGTCTGTCTGTCTGTCTCTCTCTCTCTCTCTCTCTAATCAGAAAATGCAACAACAACAACAAATAAACGTTTTCAAGGACATACAAAGACAAACACGCATGCATGCGTCAAATAGTCCAGCCTTCTGTTCATGAAATCACATACCACAGAACCGATGGTGAAGCTGCTAGACACTTTGCTGT